TGTTAAATTTTTTTTATTGTTTAATGTATATATACAGTGTTGTGATGATTTAATGAAACATATTGACGATTATATTAAAACTCATCCATATAAAATTATTTTCTTTGCAAAAATAATTAAAATAACAAAAGCAGTAATAAAAAAATTTTCAATAATGCTTTGTTGTATTTTAATTAGTTTTGCAAAGAAAATTATTTTATATGGATGGGTTTTAATTTAATCGTCAATATGTTTCATTAAATCATCACAACACTCTATATATCATACAATCGATTACAATGTGCATTATATATATTTATTTGTAATTCAGATCATGAAATTTTTAAAATCTTCACAAATTTTGCCTAATTAAGATAGTTTATAAATTAATTTAATCTTACTTCATCTAAAGAAATACAAAGACTGGCTAGTTTGTGAGATTTCTTCAGGAGATAATATATATATTCGACCGGTGGGAGTAGAAGGATTGACCACGAGAGAATATGAGATTTGAGCAACACTAAAATATCATCTATCAGAGGAAATTTAAATGAGGCTAAAGATCCACAAGGGTGTAAAAATCGGATTTTTATTTTTTCATTTGTATCGATTATAAATCCTAACCACCATTTGTCATCATATACACATGTAACATATCTATTAATATTTTTAAATATAATTTTCTCATTTAAAAACGAAACTTTATATTATATTTTTTTGGAATTTGAATATATTTTGGTTTTTAGTCTATTTTGATCAATGGGAACGTAAATTTATTGGGTACCATATATGAGCAGTGCAGAATTAAGTCTTTTATAAAGGGCTAATTCCCCTTCGATATATTATTGATTGGATACCCATTAATATTTTCTTTATATATAATTCTAATGGGGTTAGGATTTGATTTTTATTTGACCTTTGAAGACTAACTCTGGCAACTAATCTTTTAGATTTCGGAACGGACGCACTATGAACATATATATCATTTTTAATGAGATTGACTTTTGACGGTACGTATGTAAAAAACGGATCCATCTTCACTTTGAATGCAGCCTAATTTTGCTAATCAGTTTATTTTTATTAATTTTTTCAGTGTTAAACATTTGCTCAAAATTCAAAGACTTTGATCAGAAATTTTTTTTTTATAGATAATGCTCAAATTCATTTGATACCCAAAATTTTATAAAGTTAATTTTTTGTTATTTTTATTGCTTAAAAAATTTTTCAAAATCTTCGAAATTTTCTTTATCTCTGGTTATTTTAATAATTTAAGATAATGACAATTTCATAACATTCTTGGTCTTGATGGGTATAACTTAGTCTGTGGGTGTGGATGGGGGGAGGGGTAGGTCTGGTAATTAATGTGATTTTCGATTTTTTCTTAATAATTTTCCTGCACTCCTTTAATCCTGCTTTTTTGGTGTGCTTGTCGAATTTTTTAATTTACATTAAAATATTAAAAAAATTATTAAAATTTTTTTATCCTGCGAATATCTCAGGGAAATAAGGCTTACAAAGTTATATAATCGAATTTTATGATATATTATACATTAAAATATTTTTAATCAATAAAAATAATGAATTTTAACATATTAAAACTATTATATATAGCGTCATCTATTTTTTTAAAATATAAAAATTCCAATATTTTTTTAAATAAATATCCAGCCATGCTAATTGTTGAAAAAATATTAAAAAAATAGTAAACGGATAATATTTCTTAAAAAAATTAAAAATCGGAGATCATATTCATTTCGAAATATTAATTTCAAATTTTGAACTGACCATAAGATGACCCATATTTTAAAAAAAATTAATTTTGATGTTTCGCCTTAATTATCAATTATTAACTTAGCTATTGATATTAGATTAATATTTAATCATATTTAGTTTTAAATTTAAAACTAATTATTTAACATCAGTAAAAAGCAAAAAAAAAGACTTTTTGAGACCTTTAACTCCGATTCTCTGCTAATATAGTTGACTATCGAAGCATTATCATCCCAAATACCGACTAATAGAGTGACATAACAATTCTCAGGGCAAGACCTTCCCCGCTTGTCAATAGAAATGAAGTATATTATTTCTTTATTTTTTGATAAAATTTGATGTAAATATTAATAATATTTTTCAATAATCAAATAGTGTTTATAGACCATAGGTATGTTAGAAAGTAAGGCTGTGCCGATATTAAACGGATCGGATCGGTACCGATATTTAGCGTTCCGAAAATATCGGATCGGACCGATACTTGTAAAAACCCGATCCGATCTTTTTAATTTTCTTTTTTTTGTTATTTTATTTTCCGATACTTGTAAAAACCCGAACCGATCTTTTTACTTTTCTTTTTTTTGTTATTTTATTTTATGTATATTTATTTTACATTATTATAACATTTTCTAAATTTTATTTCTTCATTAAAATAGATTTATAATATTTTAAAAGTTTTTTTTTATAAAAATAGAAAGGTACACCCAAAGTTTTATTTATTTTAAATCTTTTTAAATAACGCCAATTTTTTTATTTATACTTTAAATAAAAGAATTTTTTTAAATATGGTATCTGAATTATGGAAATATTTTACAAAAGACAAAGATAATTTTGCAAAATGCGTTATTTACAGAATCATCTGAGTCTGCCATCAGTACGGCAGAAGATATAGATAGTCCATATCGTAGAAGCTTATTCCCAGAAAATCTAGAGGCTCTCATATATATTAAAAAAATCTAATATATTATAATTTTATATATTAAATATTATAATTTTATATATTAAATATTACAATTTTATTATTCCAACATAAAATGGATATATTATTAAATATATATTTTTTTATTAGTCTTAATTGTAGAAATAAATAAATTAAATTCATAATTCGATTTTTTGCATAAAAAATATTAATTTCTTAATTACATTTGGTTTAAACGGGGGTGATTAAAAATCAGTAAAAATATCGGATCGGTATCGGATCAATTTTGAAGCAATATCGGGAAATAGCGGATCGGATCGGTGAAAAATATGTGGATCGGCACAGCTTTATTAGAAAGTAGTGTGTTATAACTGAAATAAGCTGGCATTATCCTAAACTCAGCCATTTTTTGAGTTGAAAAATCCATTCAGGCTTTGTTTTTTTTAAAATCGCCTAATGTATTTTTAAAATATAATTATTTATGTATATGTATCATGCTCTATGGAAAAAATGACAAAGTTGTGAGGAAAAAATTTAATATTATAAAAAAAAAATTTCAAACACATTTTTACAAAGAAATAGTAAAAAAAATATTTAAAACTTTGTTGGCTTTATCGCTTTAAATCTAGTTTTGTTTTATTTGGTATGCTTTAAGAGGAAAATTGACCCCTTATATAAAACATGTCTGTCAATTTTCTAAAAGAGGTTGAAACCCGCCCCGATTATTATTACCCCAGGTATAAATAGATTTCGGTTCATGAAATCAAGCTCACTCCTGAGTCGGCTTGAAACAAATTCTGAGCCAGCTTGAGCCACCAGTAGACTCATATGTTTCAATGAGCTGGCTTTAGCCTGAGTCAATTTTTCAACTCAAAAACTGGCTGAGTATAGGGCTAAGCCAACTTGGATCAGCCGTTTAACAACACTAATTACAAATAAATAAATTTTGGCTCAAAAGTCGGCTTGAGCTAATTCCTAATCTTGAGCCAACTCCTGAGCCAGCTTATTCATGTTATCCAAATTTCCACCAAATTAAGTTTAAAATCCCTGAAGCCAAATTAGGGTACAGAGCCATTTTTGGTTTCAACATTAATATTCTTATAAAATGAAAATAATGTCTTTTTATAATTTTTACTCATACCAGTAACCCAAAATTTAGCAATTTACAAGGCATTGAGTTGGCCGTTTATAAAAATTGACTCAAATGGAGTCATTTTACAAAATATATGTAAAAAAATAAATATTAAAAATTATAATTATAAATAAAAAACAAAAAATTGAGCAGACCCAGCGAGTTGACTAAGCGATGTGAGCAAGTTAGCCAATCAATAGGGTCGGCTTATGTCTCCTTGATTGGCTTGAGTCAAAGCCGTTTTTTATAAATATGACTTGAGTTGCAAGTCGTAAGATCTCGACTTTTTAAGAACACTAATCGTGGCTACCAATATTGGATGGAAAAGAATCAAAATTCCTAAAATGCCTTAGAGATTTGAAGAATAAATTTGGATGACATGCATTTTTCAGAAAATAGTTTATGAAAAGAGTCAAAGCAGGACTTAACAATAACAAAATATAGGACAGCATATTCAGCAAAGTTTGGATTGTCATAAAGATAAAGAAATGGTTAGTTCCTATAATCGATGGGAAGAGCTATCTGTCAACCATGACATCATAGAATGGAAGATTGATGATACCCAATAAATTAAGGAATGCAGTGATAGAAATAATTCATCAGGGGCATCCTGGTAAAAATGTAATGTGGCCCAGGTGTGATATCAATATAGAAAATTATATCAAAAGATGTTTTGAATGACATAAAAAAACTGGACTAACTGTAGATTGAAAAGCAAATGAGAGACAATGTCAAAATTATGATTCACATTTGAAATGGAAAAAACCCACAGACAGATTAAGGACTATTCAATTTAATCAGAAGTTAAAGAAACAGCTGTGCCAGGAAATAAAGCAGGCATAGATACTATATTATGTAGTTAATCAATAAATTATTATATTAACAAAGAGGTTTATTGAGAAAATTTAACTAAAAAAATGTTTGGATGAAATATAATAAAGTATTATTTTAAAAAGCAAATAATACTAAAAATTGATTATTATTATATCCTTAATGTAGAAAATTATTATATCTTATTGATTTTGAAACTATAAATTTATATAATATGATAGTCTACTGGGTATTATGTTATCTTACCATAGTAGTCCATCCTAGTTTTCTATTAGTTCAAGTTTAAATATTAAAAATTAATACAATAGTGATAAGATTTTTAAAATATTGAATTCAAATAGATTTATAAAGGATATTAATAATTATTACATTTTTTGCTTCAAAAATAGGAATTAAATTGGGTTCCTTCATAGTAAGATATTTAATATTATATATCTTTAAATCATTTTCTTTTCCTCCAATAGCAAATAGATTATTTGGTTGGTGACTTTGGCTTATACAAGAGATATTTTTAAATGTTATATTGGCCTAGATTATACATAAGTTATATAATTAAATAATTTGTAAACAATTTTAACAAATTCCTTAGTCCATATTTCTATATCATGCACTGAACAAACAATATAAAATCTATATTAATTGAGATATGGATAGAATTAGATGATTATTTTTACTTCTCATGCCTGTTTATTGAAATAAGTTCTTTATTATGAGGATTTAGATTACCAATATTTTTAATATTTTTTGATAGCTCATCATAAGTATATAAATATCCATCTTTATAAATAACTAAAATCTTTAAAAGAAATAATTTTGTAATGCTTAAAATTTTCTACTTTATTTTTTTGCTTATTGGCCCAAAATAATTTTAAAATATTTATACTTTTATTGTGTATCTGACCAACAATATTTTCTACATTATTATCTTTCAGATTTATTCCTTCAAAAAAATTAATGTTTGAAAAGATTATTATATACCTTTAATTATTCCAGTATCAGTTCCAATATACACTGGAAATAATTTAATATCTTGAGCCATCTGGTAAAAAAAAAATAACGTGATACACGTTACGAATCCTGTCAGAGGTGGACAGCGTCTACATGACAGGATTTCCACTGGATGCAAACCCCCTTCAAAAACCTTTGCCTACCCCCTAAAAAATGGCGCCGTCTTCGGCGGCGGTGTCTCCCCATTATTATTTGCGCCTTTTTAGAGAATTTATAAAGGGTAACTTAAATTCTATCTCTACTACCTACTATCGATATTTTGTGAATATAAATAATTTATTTTTTAGATAATAAATTCAATTAAAACCTCCATTATTTACAATGAATTAATTCTCATGGCATTACAAGCTTGCTGGAATATCGAAACCTTATAAATTACAAAGGATAGCTGAAAGTTTTATTTGGAAAACAATGTGTGTGATTGTTTACAATATATAGATTTGGTCGATGAATTGTATTATAATAATTCTATGATAAAAGTATTAATTTTTACAGCAATAAATTTTGTCCTATTTCATTTCAAAATTTAATAGATAGCCCCCCCAAAAATTTATCTACCCCCATTAAAGCAGCCTACCCCTTACCCCCCTCAAAAAATAGGATGCAAACTGTTCCTACCCCTCTCGCTCATGTAGACGCTGGATGTGGATTATTATTTTAATAAAGCATTCGGGAGTAAAAACTAAAAAGTTACATTTTTTCTATATTAACGAATCAAAATAAATAATATTGTTAATATTCAAGTCTTTACTACTCTGAATTCGACTTGTAGTCATAAACTACGACTTTAAATTAATCACCTCAATGATTCGCATGAGTTTGCTCGATAGGTTAGCTTCAGAGTTGGTTCAAATATATTTTAAATAAGCCTGTCTGTTATTATTATTAACTCTACGAAATATATGAAAAATTTTGAGCTTACTCTGAAGCAGATTCATCGAGCCAACTCTGAAGCCGACTGATTTAACCGACTTAAACGAATCAACGAGCCGACTCTGAAGTCGACTAATCGAGCCAACTCTTATGGCTAATTGAGTCGCTTAATTTATAGTTAGTCTCACGACTCAAAATTGGAATACAATTTAAGCTAAGATGACTGGGCTTAGTAGAGACAATACTAAAATGGATAATATTGTTAGATTGTCTGCTTTTTTTGTGAAACAATATAATATTTAGAAATAAATTTCATAAAAACTAATGACTAATGAATGACAGTCAATCTCTATCATCGGTCCAGTCTTTATTATTAATTAATATAATTTCTTACCTAAATTTATATTTTATTTTTCTAGAGGAGTTATTTTAATTTTTGCAAATTCTTAGTTCATTTTTATTTTGCAAAATAAAAACGATAAGTTTGTCAAGGAATCATTTTTCAATAAGCAAGAATTAAATTTGGAACGATATTTTAAAATAACATGTTAAAGATGCAAATTTTTAAATTATTTTACTCAAGTCATTTTTTTATACATCTCAACATTCACAGGGAAAATATATTTTGTTTTTTATATTTTTTTACATACTTATTTTGTTTTAAAATTATATTATTCAAGACACATCCTTTATTTTCTTTAATAAAATAAAATAAAAATATATATTTCACTTTGCATGAACATTTTGTATACATTTTCTTAAACGTCATTAAGAAAATAAAATTTTTTTATTTATTATTCATATTTATTTTATTTTTAAAACTTATATTTTTGTATACATAATATATATCTCTTAAAAAAATTATTTATTTTAGATTATATTATCTTTCCTGAACATTATTTTGATGCCGTTATAAATGGTTTTAAATTAATTTTTTTATTTATAATAAGTAAGGAAAGAAATTTTTTTTTAATATGAGTAAGGAAAAAAATATAATATGAAAAATTTTCTTTCTCTTTTATTTTTATATAAAATCATTTTTTTATTAGCGTCTACAATACTTATTTTTTATCGGTAAAATTTCACGATGCATTCGCATAATTTTTTCTTTATTTATTTCAAAAAATAAGCAATTTTATATTTGGCTCCCCAATGTTTTTAACATAATAAAAAAACATCTAAATAATCGTATGAAGTATGATTTTTTAAAAATAACAATTTTAAAAAATAAGCAATATTAAATTTGCTTCCCATATATTTTTTTTAAAGCAGTAAAAAATAATACTAAATTTTTAACGTAGGAAAAATGATAGCAATTTTTCTTAAAATAGTAAAAATAATATTAATCTTTTTAACGTTATAAAAATTATGTTAATTTTTAACGATCAGATTAGTTTTTTCAACATAGTATAAAGATTATATTAAGTTTAGGTAACTCACTGAAACTCGGAAATTTCTATATTATATTTTTTTTTTAATATTTTTTTTATCAAAAAATTTAATATGAGGTGGCACAAATCTTAAAATTTAATATTTTTCCAAGTTACAACAATCTTAATGGATATGATTATTACTCGGTCAATCACATCAGAAGCCTTATAGACGCTAATGATATATTGACCCATACTCAACGTATTTAGCGTTTATGGAGAGATCTTAGCGAGCATCCTAGAATTAAAAAAAAATCTTCCTCTCATTTATATTTATGTCTTGTCTTGTCCTTCACTAGGAAAACACACAATTAAGTGGCTTCCACCACCCAAAAGAGGGCGTATCCAGTGCAGTAAATTTATATCCACTGTTTGGCAGTAATTACCCTACTGTCAGGACACATTTAATTAAAGAGGGATGATGGTACCTCTTGTGGAAAAGCCAGATACCACTGATTGACAGTAATTTACCCTATTGTTAGGGCCCGTTTAATTTAAGAGGACTGACGGTACCTCCTGTGGATAAGCTAGCATCCAATAATTGATACCAATATACCCTATTATTAGGGTAAGAAATAAGAAATTTGTATATAGTATTAATGTGTTATTATATATATGGATGTATAAAAATGGAATATATAATAGTGGTAAAGGTAATAGTTATTTTATGTTGTATGAGTAAATCAATGACATATGTCATTGGAGTAAATATCTAATTTTTTATTTAAAGGCATGTTTATAAGAAAAGAGTAGATAAAATTTAGGATTTGGTATTTGTTAGAAAAAAAAGAAAAGTAGACAATTTGATATTTTCTAGAATAAAAGGAAAAAAAGCAGACGATTTAATTTAAGGTTAGGAAGTATCATGTAGATTGTTATATTAATATTATTAAGATTGTTTTTTGTGAGAATAAGGAAAAAAAAGAGACTAATTTAGTAAAGTTAGGGAAAAAAATAATATAGATAATTATATTGTAAATTAAGAAATTATTTATAGTGGTTTGGTTAAATAATAAGAAAAGTTGTAAATAGGTAATTTATAGGTAATTCAATGACATATATGTCATTGAGGTAATTTAGATAGGAAGAAAAATTGAGTGATAAGTAAACTTGAAGGAGATGTATTTTGGTGATTTGAAGATGTTAGAGGAGTATATATATATATATACAATGCTACTTGATAATTCTTCATTAATTGTAGTTTATGAAAAATATTACATAGATTATGATTAATTTGAACAAAAAAAATTGTATTTTGATGAGGATAATAGAGTTGGTAGAAAATGTGATTTATAATGTTCCAGTAAAGAGTTACTTCAATGACTTATGAATCTTTTATTTGGATAAGGTGGAAAAAATGTTGCAAAGGTTAATAGGTAATCTATAAATAAAGATATGATAAAATGAAAAAAAATTTGCCTGATTCCTGAGATGGAAGTAACATAATATCGTAAATAGTGATCCGCAATTGAAATATATATGAAAAGATAAACATTTTTTAATGTTTCATGTTCGTATCATTTCACAAAAAGCCATTAATATAGCAAACGCCTTTTCCATTTTTAATGTAAAATTAAAGAATTGTGAAAATTTTCACATGAAAATATTATAAAATTCTTAAAACTTTAGAATGAAACTTTGAATTATTATTACATCAAAAAATTTCAACCCCTATCCACATGATCGAATATTTATTATTTTTAAATAAAAAAATATTTAAAAAAAAAAAAATTAAAAAAATTTAAAAAAAAATATTTAAAAAAAATATATAAAAAAAATATTTAAAAAAAAATAAATAAAAAAAAAATTAAAAAAAAAATAATATTTAAAACTCCCAAGTTTCAGTGAGTTACCTAAGTTTATTTAAGTTTTTAGGACGCTTCGTCGCTGATGCATGTGCATAATGCATATTTATGCATGAATATTTCGCCTATACGGCCATTTTAGCTTATTTATGTTTTCATTTATTCGAAATAGAGGGCCCAAATTTAAAAGCATGGAAAATTTGCGACGTAGAAAATTAAACGAAAAGAGGGTTTTAAATGGAAATGAAAAACGTGTATATAAAAAAATCCCTAAGTAAAATATTAAATAGTATTTATGCTTTGTAATTTTTTTATTTAGCTTAGGGCCTAAGTATTAAAAATATAAACAAATTTTAAGTTTTTAAAATATATTTATTTAAATTTTTTAAAATTTTATTTTTACCTATTTATAAATAAAATAAATCAAGAGCGAATGGAAAAAGTTTAGCATTGATCACAATTGGCTTACTTCTCTTTTTAGCCATAGTTACTTCTGTTCTAATAATATTTTTACCTGATAGTATTCAATCATATAGCTATAAGTAAATATAATGTATATTTGATAAAAATTATTTTTTTTTGCCAAACAAAACCATTAATTATTTTCATATTTATTTAGAATTTAATGATGGCTTCCTAAAAGATTTCTATTAATTGTATATATCTTGATGTAAAGTATTGAATATTGATTTGCATTTATTATAACATTACTAATATTGAAAACATATATATATTAGTATAGTGGCTAATCTGGCCCATGATTTATTTTCTATGGCCCAACTTATCAGTGCCATTTCTTCCACCCACAAGCCAATATAGATCAGACTCCCTTAGTATAATGCAATCATTTCTCTAAAAAAAGTTAAGCTATTTTAAATGTCATTGAGCACTAAACATTTTATATAAAAACATTATCAGTCATACAACATACTATCTCATAGTATATTTCTTTATTCCATTAATATAATTGAGAAAATAACTAAACTAATTTTAGAATATATTTGATCATGAAAAATCAATTCATTTATAATCATTATAATTTTTATTTTTCTAATAGTTGATATAAAACAAATATATAAAATGATGCTTATTTATTAATTTTAAAATCTCACAATGATTTAATATTGCAAACAATGACTTAAGTTTTATAAGATATGTAAATGTAATACATTAGTAGGCCTAGTGCTTCTTTGCCCTTGAACTGAGTATCTCTTAAACATTTTTTATATTTATAAATAGTATTAAAAAAATATCCTAGCTATACCTGCCATATTCTATAGGTCAGTTTGTGAATAAAGACTAAAATTGTTAAAAGGTGGGACTATAACAAACATTATCACATTTTATATAATGGGTTTATATATATAAATTTTTTGTCTAATTACACATTTATGGATCTTTATTTATATTTATATTTCTAATCATAAATTATAAATTTATCAATTTTTATTTCAACTTATATTTTTACAAGTCAGAATTTAAAATAAAATTAGAAATTAGATACAAATTTTTTAAACTTATCCATTGAATCAATTTTATTTAACAGTTGCTTTTCTTTCAAAGATTAATTTAAATTCTAAGAAATACATTTTCAAATTTTGATAGATTGAATCACATTGGAAAAAAATAAAGCTAAGTATTCACCTACTTTTTTGAAGAGATAAATTGTTATTTTTGACTTATTGAGGCATTTATATATTTCTCCATTTTCTAATTTTTTTATATATTTTATAATATCAAAGAATTTCTTTTTAAATGAGAAATTTACCTATCATAATATTAATAAATATTTAACTTGTGTTTATGAAAAAAATTTGTAGTTAGGATTTGTAATAAATAAAAATTATACAAATGAGAAAATCAAAATTCTTATATCCCTGTGGACCCACAGTTTTATTTAAATTTCCCATGATAGATGATTTTTTTATTTTGCCCAAATCATCTGCCATGGAAATTTCACAAGCAAGTCAAGTGTAAAATTATGACAAATATTTGACTTAAAAATAATTTTAATATCTTTTAGGTGTTTTGAATTACTTAAAATTTTATGACAAGGATGAGAGAAAATATATTTATCAAATAAATTTTATTTAGGGATACATGCCTTAAAATTAAAGAATAAATTAATGACTTTTATTAGATAATTTTAAAAATATGGTGCCATTTATATTTTTAAATACATTAACTATGATATATTTTGGAAAAAATACCCTGCATTATTGCAGGAAATAAAATAATTTTTTTTTACAAAATTGAATGTTCATAAAACCAACAATTTAATAAAATTGGTATGATTTAGTTTTTAAAAAATATTAGCTGGCCAAGATATTTTCTTTACCCTTTGATGCACAGATGACTATCTAAAAACTGTCTAAAGTGCACAATTTATTTTTAAAAGTAAATGATATGTGGTAAGTCACGATTTCTTGATCATTATCAAATTTTCTGCCATAATGCCAAATAATATGTTTTGGAAGTTGCTTTGCTTTAAGATAAATCCATTTTAATAATGATGCTACAAGAGTTCCATTGTTTGGACCAATTTATGGACCGACCTTTTTCTAGAACTGTTGTATGGGCCAGTCTTTTTATTATTCTGATTATAGATGTAAAATTCCTGGGAAAATTGGTTCAGGGGAAATTTCCCCGGGAAAATTTGGGAAAAAAGGGAAAATTGGATGAAAAAACGGGAAATAACGGAAAATTTAAAAATAACCACAAAATATACTTTAGACCTTTCAATTTTTTTTATGGAATAACTTTATTAAATTTGGGGAACTAAGGGAAAATAATATAATTAAACAATAAAGACAAAAATAAATACACTATAAACATCATTTTTTGAATAACTTTATTAATTACAAAAAGCATGTATCAGAAATTACATTTAAAATTCTTGGGATGCTAATGAAATAGCATCAATATCTTCATTGATAAATCGGAATCTGAACTCTTTTGATGATATCCCGAACTTGATGTATTTGTATGATCCTTTAAATGTATGTTATGCCTTATTGATATTAATTTTTCGACTCTTTCATTCTTTATTCTATTTCTCGTTTTTGAATGAATTTTTCCAAATGCTGACCAGACTCTTTCTGAGGGTGGTATCGAAAGACATCTTACTGCCACTTGACAAAGGGGTTGATTTGTACACAACCCTTTCCACCATATGAGTGGTTTGGTATGGATTGAGCTCTCCCATATGCCAGCTCAGAAACCTTGTTTTGAACGATATTCTGCTAAATTACCCATAATTTTTCCAATATCGCAATTAATTTGGCCTGAAATAATATTTATTATATTTAAAGCTGCTATTAATTCACGGTCTGTTAATTTCACACCATAATATCGAGGATCCAGAAGATTTCATAATGATATTCTCGGCAACAAAATTTCCTTCGTTTTTTAATATGCATCTTAACACTTTTCAAATCATTTTCATTAAAAATAAAAGTTGATGAATTGAGTTTATCTTTTATGTCCCAAAATATTTCTTATAAAAAAACTTTAATAAAAAACATACTGCTTTCAATCTAAACAAAGATGCGTTACATTAACAAACATACTGCAAACGCTCAATTTGTGCGCACTATTATATATCAAATCTAAATATATCATTAATTATTAATAATTCGATAATATATCACATTAATATTATGTATGAGAAATAATGTGAAACATTTTACCTTTATTTTTGTACTTTTAAAATTATAGATTTGAAAAATTGCACTCAATGATTGCACTAATAAAAAAAATAAGTTTAAAGACTCACGAGGAAAATAAAAATTATTTATAAATTAAATTATAAATCATAATTATTGAAATAAAATATTATATTTTATAAAATATAAATCATAATTTTTGCAAATAAATAATATATTTATATTAAGGGAAAATTCGGGAAATTTCCTGTTATTTCCCGGGAAATTTCCCTACCTTTACATCTCTAGTCCTGAGCCTAACCATGTTCTAGATTGATTATTAGTTTAGTTTGTATTCAATTCATATCATTTTTTGAAAAATTTTGTTGTGTATTTTATTTTATATTACTTTTCTAGAAGAGTTTATTTAGTTTTTAATTTTTTTTCTTTTTTAGTTCTTATTTTCTAATATAAAAACGAAAAGTTGGTTAAAATAGCATTTTATCTTAAATCGATATTAATATATATGTAGTCATAAAAATAATTAATGTGAATAGAATTTTTAAAAATAAAAATTAGGTATGATGAAGTTAGACCTGCTCTAACTGGAGCACTACAACATAACGATATATTGACCAGAGTTGAAAGAAAGGCATACAATGAACTAGTTGGTCCAGAGTCATTTGCACATTATAATAGTTTAAAAAACAATATATTTATATTTATTATAGCTATTAACGATATAGACAGTTATATTAACGAAATATTGAAATTCATTTATTTACAGATGAGATATATACTAGTACCAAAAAAGGGATATTTAAATTGAAAGAATCAAGAATAGAATTTGTTGCAAGAATTGGCAAGCCTCCTTGTGGTAAAATATATATATATATTTTTTTATATAAGTTGTATATTATAATTCTGAATTGTGTATTGTGTTTTTTTATATTTTAATAATATAATTATGCTAATAACTTAAATTTTATTAAAATATGGGCTTTTTGAATTTAAGTCGCCATCTTGTTTAATTCTACTTAAAAGTCTCGATTCCTGAAGTATATGTATAGCTTTTTCAAACCCATAGTTACTTTTTATCAAAAACACTCGTCTAATTAGCATTGACAAAGAACGCTATGTTAAAAAAAGCTATATTATAATTTTCTTTTTTAATTCAACTGCAAACATATTTGTTATCGAATTGGGGATATAGATAATAACCTTTTCTAATTTAAAAAAATACCTACCTCGGTGCCTAGACATAGAATTAAGATTATATTTGAATCGATTATAATAAATTATTTTTTAGATTCTTTAGATGATGAGGATACCTGTGGTAGACCTTTAGGCATAGAATTCAACTCTCATGGTTTACTTTATATAGTTGACTCTTACCTTGGAATATACACCGTTAACGTTACCAGTACCATAAGTAAATCCATAAATTTGAATGAAACTTAATTCGTTTAAAAATTTTTATGGCTAAAATCAAGTTATTTTTTAATAAGTCATCCTTAAACAATTTGAATTGATTATGTCTTGATATAACTATGAATCAATTGCGATTCAAAATCGAAAAGGAAACCGTAACTGTATGTTCACCACAGGCCTCCAGAAAATAGAATTGAATGAGTTATTCGGATTTGATTTGTAAATTTCGAATCAATTAATATAGTATTTTTAGCAAGCGAAAAATAATCTCTAAGCTCTAAAGGAGTGTTATCTTTATTTATTTTTTTTTCCGGGAAATTATCCAAAAAATACTGATAAAATTCATTCTTTTTTCATAGACATGCGATTTTTAGAATTGTACTGCAAATGCCGATAAAAAAATAAAATATAGATTGACAGTGTGGCCTTTTATCATTATTAATTATGAATATTTACAAAGTATAAAAATTTCAAAATAATAGCTTTTTAAAAATATTGATACGAATAAATATTTAATAAACCTAGTTCCCCGCCAGGCCATCCAAAAATCGAATCGAATAATGCAGCATTCGTATTCTTAAATTTCAGGCTGTACCGAACCATATTTTTCACTGATCCGATCCTATATTTCCCGATATTGGTTCAAAACCGATCCGATACCAATCAGATATTTATATTGATTTTTTACCACCACCATTTGAACCAAATATAATTAAAAAATCCATATTTTCTATGCAAAAAATCCAATTATCCATTTAATTTAATTTTTATATTTTTATTTCTACAATTAAAACCAATTTCAAAAAAATATATATATTTAATTATGTATCCATTTTATTTTGAATAATATATATATACATGTTGGTATGAATTATAAAATTTTAATATTTAATATATAAAATTATAATATATTAGATTTTTAAATAAATATGAGAGCCTCTAAGCTTCTACAATGTGGACTATCTATATCTCCTGCCTTACTGAAGACAGACTCAGGGACAGTGGTTGCAGGAGGCGCCAAAAATTTACATGAAAGTTTTGACAAAATTAGATACATTTTAGCATTAATTCTCCAATAATCAAGTGGATCCACAAGGGGTATAATATCAATATCAATGTTATTAGAGTTATCTAAATAAACACACATGAAATTAGCATTTTTAATATAGTGGGTTTAATAAAAAAAATTCAACCCAATCTTTTGTTGGGTTTGAAAAATAATCAGATACCACCCAAACAAATAGATCAATCATAACCCATCCAAGCAATACTAGATAAAATATGAAAAATAAGTTATTATACGGTCTAGATATAAAGATTCCTTGATTTCTTTCAAGTATGACAGGTCATCTACATTACTATTGATTTCAATTATTTTATTTGTTACTAGTTTCTCTTTGATTTTCAAAGGGGATGTTGTGCATTTTCATTGTTTTAAAAATGAATAAAAAATATAAAAAGATTTCGAATCTTTCAATTTTAATAAAAATAAATAAAAAATCTTTTGGAATATTATAATAAGGTAAAATAAATTATATAAATATATATTACATAAAATAACAAAAAAGTAAAAAGATAGGATCAGGGTTTTTACAGGTATCGGCCTGATCCGATATTTAATAGCGCACAACTTAAATTTCATATCGAATAATTTTCTATAGGCCTATTCCCCACGTGTTTGGAATGTTCTTAAAAATATATAAGAGGCAAGTTATATTTTTACTTGTATTTTATTAACAAACACATTTGTTATTTATTATTATGTTATATTTAAATTTATGACTGTGCCAATTCACAAATTTTTTTAAATAGCTAATATTTCCTGATATTCACTTCCAGAATTAATACGAGTCCGATATTTACATTGATTTTTAATTTATAAAAATATAAAAAAAAATTACTACAATAAATCAAACTAAAATATTTTTATAAATCTTTTTTTTTGTGGATAATGTAACAAAAATAATATCACATATTAATTAAACTCTTTCAAAATAATTAGAATTTTTTTTTAATTATCGGCGCCATAAATTATTACACCTCTTTATTTATTAATATTTACTCGAGCATTGTTAAGCACCTTAATGCCATCATTTTATTTAAAGGATGGACTGGTAAATATAAAAGATATTTTATCAATTATAAAAAATTCTTTGTTTAAATAGTGAACATAAATCGAAATGTTGAATTGGATCATCGTATTAGGCAAAGTGAGTTTTAAAATGTGTCTTTCAACACCCAAGTATTTACTTATACTTTCACCAAAATTCACAAATTTCTCATAGAGTGAATAAAATTTGTCCGTAAATTAAATATGTTTTCAGGAATGTTCTGTAATATGTCAGCTGGCCTAAATCTTGTTTTTGGACTGAACAGAACCGCCAAAATGCGCTTGAGTAGTTAATATCTAATATGTAAAATAATTTTTAGAAAAAATCGATACCATATTGGACAAAGCATACTTGAATAGCAGGAATATTAAATTCTTAAACAGTCTACAGTTAGATGAAAAGAACGACATATATTTTACATCCTCTAGTACCAAATGGAATAGAAAAGATTTTATGAAAGCCATCTTAGAGGCTAGACCTGATGGAAAGTATGTATGTATATATAAATTTCACATTTAGTGAAATGTGGATACATTTAATTTACTCATCATGTAAATATATTTATAATATTTTAATAAAACTATTTAGAGTTTATAAATACAACCCTAAAACGAAAGAACTTAACGTTGCGGTCGATGGTTTGATTTTTCCTAATGGATTGTTGATATCCCCTAATCATGATTACCTTCTAATCTCAGAATCAGTCAAAGCTCGTATATTAAAGTAATTTTTTTAATATAGTGTTTTTGGTTTATCGTACATTGTATTTTTTTTACTATTGTATCTTTTTCTTTCAAATAAAATTGTTATTACAAGTCTTCGAACCTTAAAACTGAAACAAAGAATCACTATAATTTTCTAAGACATAATCGAAACATTATAGGAAAATACTAAAGAGAGCTAGCCAAAATATTATAATCTGGAACCAGTTTAATCTCCTTCATAAAGTTTTTTAGCAGGTAAATTACATTCATCTTACAGACAACAATGCCTCCATTCATAATTTTTCCTAATAATAAAACATTATTTATCATTGATAATTTTTTGTTAAAAAGATAATACAACAAACAACTTACTAATTTCAGAAAAGTGGTACTTTATGAAGTTGAGAAATCATTCTGAATAACTCATACTTGTGATTAAGGAGCTATAAAAAATTTAAATGAATAGTAAACAATTTTAGATTACATCTAAAAATAAATGGAGTAATCATCCTTATAAATTGATGCATATTATTTTACCATAGCAAATAACCTTTTTTTGTAATGCTCTGTTAAAATGTTTTGATTCAAACCAAAAAAATCGATATTACCTATACAACATATTTCTTTAAATATCATTAATGAAAGCCACAATTTAAATCAGCTATATATTTTGATCCACTGAATGGTATTTTTTTATATAAAAAAATCTATAAAACTACCAGAAAAGTAGAAATGTGTTGAAATTCATACAATTCTTATTTCTTTTAGGAAATCCAGATGATGACATGTAAGATGTTAAGATCGAGGTTGCTATTACTATTTCTTTTGATGGAGAGGAGATCTATCAGCAATATAAGATTTGCAGAGAGTGCTATTCATCCTTCTGATATTAGTTACTCATAACCACCCCTTTTCGAAGTTTTAACTTTGCTCATATATCGAATAAGAGAGCCTTTATCGGTTAGACAGGAATCTCGTCTAGTTCCTTTTCATCCTACTTAATTATGTTTTAAGCCATATTTTTTTATATGTATGTATGATTATTTCTTATTCATTTATCAAACCCAGAATTAAACAAATTATTAATTTTTTTTATAATAAATAAAGCTGAAACAATAAAATATATTTCATTTAAATTTTGAGTTTTCTATCTTTATTTATAATTTTATTTCACAGATTCAATCTAAGAGGCCCAAATAAAGGAAAATTAGAGGTATTTGCTTCTAACCTTCCCCTCATTCCAGATAACATAAAATACAATTCCAAAGGAAATATATGGGTCGCTGCAGCCTCTATAAGGGCACAAGGTTTTTTCTCTCCTTTAGACTCTCTTGCCCCGTACCCACAACTTAAACGTTATCTATTTAAAGTGAATATGAATTATTTTTAGAAATAATAAATTTCAAAATAAAATTTTGAGTAGCATTTTATTAAGTCAATGATTACATACTATATTAACCCAGACAGGCACGTAGATTGCGAAATGCAATTTAAAATAGATTATATTCTATTTCAAATAGGTTATATTCTATTTTAAATTTTAGCAAAAAGTTTAAATTAATTTTTAAATTTTTTCCTTGTGTATATTAATATTTTTTCTACGAAAATTTGAAGAATATTTTTGCATTTTTTTAAACCTTAAGATGGATATTAGAAAATTTTATCAACCAAAAACCTAAAAGTAATATAATTTAATATAAAAAATATATAACCCAAACCCAACACAATAACTGATTATTTATATTCATAATCTGAGGCACAATGATTTCAAATATATAACCCAAACCCCAACACAATAATCATAATAGCTGATTATTTATCTTCACAAACTGAGGCACAATGATTGCAAATTATCGAACAAAATGAAGAATCTAGAAAGATAGATAAAAAAGAAATAAGGTCTTCAGGAGGTTAGAAATCATTTTTTAGACACAATGTGCTAAATAGAATTATTCTTAAGACTTTTTATACAACAAGAAGAAAAAAACTGCAAAAACCGGACATGAAGGACCCTTCGATATCAAGCTGTTACAGCATTTTTGGATCTAAAAGGGTATTTTGATTGCCCTTAGAAAATGTTCTGAACTAGATATCATTATTAAATTCAACAGCCTATTTTCCCCGCATTGGTATATGTATTAATAAATTACTTTATGACATAATAGTTTTATGCAATATTTTTCAAAAAATGATATGGATTTGGCTGTGGTTTCACCAGGCGCGTACACAGCGTGGGGGGGGGCAAGGGACAAATCCCACCCTCCACAAAAAATACAGATGCTGAATTATATTTTTCAAAAATATTATTGTTAATATTAATTTATATTTGTTAATATTTAATTATATTTATTTATCACATTCATCTACTAAGTTATAAATTAATTTCGATTTCACGTTTTCCTTGGCGTAATATTTATCTTTATTTTCAAATTTTATTGGCGTATTATTTATCTAAATTTCTAGTCAAATATTAATTATCCCTGAAACTCCTTGTCCAACAGGTAGAACGAAATTGCAAACTTATCCAACGAGATCGAGTCTCCGCCATCAAGCACTAACAGCTTTTACAGAGTTAGAAGAGCCGATTATTAATGCTATTATTGAAATATCACAATGGCTTGAAATAAATATTTCCTCAGAAGCAAGAAAATTATTGGATTCAATACTTATTACAAAATTTTTTTCTCATTAGAATGTACTATTTAATTATAAAACTATTTTATGTAATACTTTTCAAAAACATGATATTGACTTGATTAAGAAGATGAGAATAGCGGAGATCATTTTATTAGAACTCAAGAAAATTAGAGCTAATGTTGATAAAAAATTTCATATTTTATGTTATTGTTGAGTCAAAAGCAGAGCTATACGTGTTTAATATTTGTCCTCTTAGATACATTTATAACCCAAATAAATGAATGGTTTTTAATTCATCATGCAGCATTTACCAATCCGCAGATATTTCTTCCACAAAAGCCTTTCCAACCTTTTTCAGATGGTGATAGAAAAAAAAATAAATATTTGTTAAATTTTTATCATGAAGATGTTAAAGTATCTTATAATGCCTTATTAGCTGAATAACTATGATTAAAAGATTAACTATGGTTGATACAGTCCCAAAAAATGCTATGGATGCTTTGCATTATTTCAAACACATTTTAGATTATATTCCCAATGTATTAAAATGGTTATATATATATTAGCAACTCTTCCCATTAGTAAACTAATGAGAGAACATTCTCTTTTTTAAGAAGAGTAACAGTGCCCTGCAGAGGTACCATTTGCAAGGCACGGCCCAAATTTTATTTCAAAATTTTTTTGAAGTTTTTTTTAAAAAAATTTTCAGGCCCGGCCCGAATTTTTTTAAAATATATTATATTTATTTTTGACTTTTATAGCTAATAATGGCAATTTCAAATATTTGGTTTTAAAATATACAGCCCAGTTGGGATATTTTTTTTATAGGGATATTTTAAATTTTCAGGCCCAGCCCGGGTGTTTTTTTAAAAAAAATTTCGAGCCTGGCCCGGGTATTTAAAAAAAAATTAAAATATGGTCCGACCCGGGAGCCTTGCCTGTAAGTTTCTGAAAAACATACCTATGAAGTACAACTTCTGAAAGTAGATTGAATGATTTGGATCTTTTGAATATTCATAGGCATTTAACGCCAAGCAAGTATGAGATAATTGAAAAATTAGCTAAAAACATACAAAATACAATTTTTAAATAACAATAATATTTCTTAAAAAATTATATTATCCCTCCCTTCCCCACCTCCCAGACCAAATTCCTGCGTACGCGCCTGGGTTTCACGAATATTATATTACAACTTAGAGAACTAAGAAATAAGAATTTCACGAGATTTATGTGATTATTGAGACGAAAGTTAGATTATATAATTTTGAGATACTCAAGCCTCGACTTGCATCTACAATCGTTCCATTAAAATAACCGTTTTTATTCCACTTTTGGATACACCTTTGACTCAAATCAATGAGTAATTTGGGATTCATCAAATGGCTTTATTTAATTTACAAATACTATTACGAGATTTGTCTTAAGATATATTAAATATTGATATTGAAAATAAATATTTAGCTTAATTTTATTCAGAGAATATAAATGTATCTGATGATCAATTAATTTCAGAATTGATTTTAAATCTTGGTATGAAAGATTAATTAATTAATAATCCTACAAGAAAAACCATGGAAGAATTTGTAGTTTTTTCCAAATATATTAAAATTACTATATCTTGGCAACATGCCAATTAGTACAAATATAAATGAAAGGACCTTTTCTTCATAGCGGGAATTAAAACCTAACTCAGATACCACATTAAAATCGATTGAATGGACTAGTTTCACTTAATATACGAATGCATGGATTTAATCCTCAATTACAAAACAAATTATTGAATATTAAATTTGCATTTATGAAGATATTTTGATTAACTCTTTAAATCATCACTAATATTCTAAAAAATTGAACGCGTTTAATCTTCATTGACAAAAATCGAAAGCGTTCACATTCAAGTTCACTTTCAAAAAGAAAGGAACGCGTTCACGTTCGTTCAAAATTTTATAATAAATTTTTTTAAAATTCAATTTAATATAGATAAATGTCATATTTTTTAACACAATTTATTAGCCATGTTAAATAATAATAGTTTTATTTTGATAATATAATTATTAATACAATATAATATAATATAGCGAATAAAAATATATTTTTATCTATAAAAAAATATTAATTTTTAATAACAATTGTTTTTAAATATTTCCATCTGATAGACAGGAACGCTTGGCAGTTAATACGGGCTATTCTAAAAACTCGCTCTACTGGGATAGATGAGGGGATTGCGGTATTATATTTAATAAACAACTCAAAGTGGGAAATTTATTAAAAACATTTATTGTTTTGTCCTTTGCTTCAAAAAATTTAGATAAGGTATCCCCCTCCAATCCATCCTCTACTTCCTCGTCAAAAAAGGATGGCAATTTTTTAAATATCTACCTAATTTTCTAAATATCGACCAAAATTTATTAAAATTTAATAAGGCCCTAATTATTTAACATATATTATACGGAATCACGTGGTCGAGTCCGGCCTCCTATATATCATCCCAGCAAGGACGGAACCACAAAGTTCTATTAATAAAAAAAAGATCCTTGCTCGAACCCAAAACCATTGTATCGGTAATCAAAGCTCTTGCCGATTATGCGACTTTTTAAATATATATTATAAATAAATTTGATAATACCTAAATGAAAAATAAACAAAAACAAATTTGATAAGTAATACCGATCCACATATTTTTCACTATCCGATCCGATATTTTCAGATATTGCTTCAAAACCGATCCGATACCGATTTGATATTTATACTGATTTTTAGTCATCCCCGTTTGAACCAAATGTAATTAAGAAATCAATATTTTTTTATGCAAAAAATCGAATTATGAATTTATTTTAATTTTTTTATTTCTACAATTAAGACTATAATAAAAAAATATATATTTAATAATATATCCATTTTATGTTGGTATGAATTATAAAATTGTAATAATAAAATAGATTTTTTTAATAAATATGAGAGCCTCCAGATTTTCTCGATATAAGCTTCTACGATATGGACTATCTATATCTCCTGCCGTATTTAAGGCAGAATCAGATGATTCCGCAGATAACGCATTTTGCAAAATTATCTTTGTCTTTTGTAAAATATTTCCATAATTCGGATACCATATTTAAAAAAATTCTTTTATTTAAATAAAAAAATTGGCGTTATTTAAAAAGTTTTAAAATAAATAAAACTTTATAAAAAAATTGGCGTTATTTAAAAAGTTTTAAAATAAATAAAACTTTGGGTGTACCGTACCTTTCTATTTTTATAAAATAAAACTTTTAAAATATTATAAATCTATTTTAATGAAGAAATAAAATTTAGAAAATATTATAATAATGTAAAATAAATATACATAAAATAAAATAACAAAAAAAAGAAAAGTAATAAGATCGGATCGGTTTTTACAGGTATCGGCCCGATCTGATATTTTCGGAAAACGCTAAATATCGGTACCGATCCGATATTTAATATCGGCACAGCCCTACTTATCATTAACCCAAGAATTATATATATGTTATGGTAGCTTAAAATGAATGATGTTTAATATGGTATGATATTATCATTGGTCCGAATAAGCTATGGTGATTTTTATTGGGAATTTTTTTTAAAAGAATACTTAGATTCATTAAACTTCAAAAATTTTTAATATTAATTTTATCTCACGCTTTATACAATTTGCCCATTCCACCTCCCATAATTTCAATCGAACCTTGTTTTTACAAACATGTTCACAAAGAAATAAATCATTGGTAGCATTCCCTCATTAATAACTTTCCCATCATTTAAAATGTGCACATTGACCCCTATATTTTTATAATTTATCCTTTGACATTTAATTTAAAATTCATTAAATTTACAACTTTCTATATATCTCCTTAATTCTTTAATTTCCAAATGAAATTACCACAGTCATAAAATATCAAAAAGTTCAGACACATGACATTGAAATTCTTCCGATTTTTATTTTAGTGTTTTCTTTTCACTATCATACAATCATGCTATATGACAATCCCGCACATAATTACCAAGATTTCTACAACAATGAGCATTATTTCCTTCATTTTTCGTTTCCATAGGTATTACATTATTACATTCGGTAACTCATTTTTAACAAGCCGGAACGCAACCGATGGAAAATCACTGACACCTGTTTGTTCTCTCCTGAAACATCTATCGAAGTATGTCCTGTTCTTCAACAATTTGAACACGACATTACTTTTCTTTCATTTTCATCTATTTTGAAGGTTGACATAACATTTTTCGGCATTATGACCAATATTTTCGCATCTTCCACAGATAATTGGTAAAGCTCTCTGCATTATTTTTTCATTACAATCTCTGCTTATATGACCATATTTTCCGCAATAAAACACGGTCCGATTTCTACGATCTTCTCTTTGTTATACATTTTGCCCTCAATTATTTTCTTTATTAAACTCAGTTTCATTTTTCCCTTTTTTTATTTGCTCCTCCATTTCTTTTATTTTTCATTCTCATTTTTCCTACTACCAATCTAAAAATTCTCCATTTTTTTTGCTTTAACTTTCTCCATTTCCTCCTTCTTTTTATTTCCATTTCTTCCTCTTTCCTTTTTCATGTTCAATATCTTCATATATTCTCTTCATTATTTTCTTAATTTCTTCTTTTTCTTTTTTATTTCTTATTATTTCCAATTTTATTTTTTCCAATTCATCTATTATTACTCCGTTAATTCCCTTTTCTTTCATTTTTAATATTTCTATTCCATTTTTTATATCCATTTTACTTATTTCGGCCACTTCATCTTTTCCTTCCTTCTAATTTTCTTTTAATTTTATCCTTTTCCAACATTAATTTTTCAAAATTTTCCTCCATTCATTTTTTCCTTTTTCAGTATCTCTATCGATATTAATTTTTTTAATATCGTTAATATTATTTCCTTTCCATATTTCCATTTTTTCACCTTTAAATTTAGATATATCATCAATAATTTTTTCCCTTTCATCAATTTTTTAATTAATTTTAATCCTTTGTCAATATACTCTTTAATTTATTTCTCCTCTATATATAAATTAATCTAATAAGTATTAATAAAATTAAATAGAAATAATTATTTCTGCATTTCACATAATTAAGTGTCTTGATAGTTTGTTTGCGATTAAACATGGTAAATACAAAAAAAATTTAATTTCTTTTATATTTCAATTTTTATATTCTCGACTCTTATTTTTATTGAACAAACAAAATTATAAAATATTAATTAAAACCTTGATTAAAAATATTTTTACTTTAGTTAAGGATAATAGATATATAAAAATGATTACGATCATCATTATTGTTATACAAATATATATTTCAAAATAAAATTAAAAATATATTTTACCTTTATCCCCAAAATTTTATTTTTATTATGGCCTTCGTATAGATAGGTAGTAATTGGTTACGCTGACTAACCTGTTTGTAATTGTAGGTATCTTTTTTTTACACGACACCAAATTGTTGCGAACTGCTCGCTGTGAAACAAAAACTAACACTGAAATAAGAATTGGCACAGAAATAAGAACTGCACTGAAGTAAATTCTTTTTTTAAAAAATCTCTTTATCTAAAATACAATCATTAAAACCAAAAAAAATATATTTCGCTAAATTAATATTATATGCGAAATTAATATTATATGCGAAATTAAAATTAATTCGAATATAATTTTCTTATTTTTCATATATTAAAAAAATTATATCCTTGAAAACCATTATACATATGAAGCTTGAATACTGGATGTATAATTGCAGAAAGAAAATATTGAACTTCATATATATGTTCGAATCTTTAAAAAAATAAAATTTATGTAATTAATTTGATAGTGTCAGCACCTTTTATTAATCCCATCTGCATCTATCAATGGTTGACCATATTTTAGGCCACATTTTTTTAATTTAAAATAACTATCGTTATTGTTGGGGTCAAATCAAATGCATTTTTTCTTCAAATTTAATGATTTTACTTACTATCTAATCTCGTTTTAAATTGGAACTTGAAGATTTTGAAACTGATATAATACTTTTTGGACACATTTTAGTTCCTTCAATATAGGATGTTACTGTAAAATATTTATCATATTTGGGCCATGGTAATGTTAATTCATCTGATTTTGAATTTCAGAAACAGATGATGATGTTGATGAAACAATAATATACATACTTATGCTAATCTATTAAATTAAAATATAAACAATAATATTCAAATTAATAAACTATAATATTGGCTTGTTAAAAAAAATGAAATGCGAAAAGGGAAAAACAACTGATTATATAATATAAGCAATTTGGATTAATATTAAATTTTACAAATAAATAAAAATAAAAAATGTTTTTAAAATTGAACGAACGTTAAATTCGAACGCGTTCGTCATAAAAAAGGATCGCGTTCATGTTCAAAGTTCGTCAAAAATAAAAGGAACGCCGTTCATCATTTTTTTCAAAAAAAAAGAACTTCGTTCACGAACGCTTTCAAAATGAACGCTTTCGTTTACAACACTACTAATAAATAATTGCATTTAGTTATTATATATGGCTTAAATTAAAATAAACATTAATTTTGATAATGCATAGGTCATATACCTTCAGCTTTAATGTAAATGATTAATTTCAGTATATATTCGAATGTTTTGGATTATATATGTATGATTTTGATACAAAATGTTGTGTCACGTGTGCTGTAAATCTCTAATTTATTGAAAATTCTTTTAAAGAATCACGACCAGGAAATTAAATAAAAACTACACCAAAAATAATATATCGCTCTGTTGAACTCTGTATCATAATAATAAACAGCATAATATTGATTGATAATACATTTAATTAATGGAATATAAAAATTATAAAGATCTGAAATGTATTTACCTAAAAACGTTAAAAAATGGAAAGCATTACTAGACCTGTGTGCCGAAGTCTCAATCGGTTGTGGAGGTTTTTTAAAATTTTTATCGGGGTTCATCGGCGCGACGAATTAACCGTCACCTGTAGAGTTGGCGTTGGCTGGCCGCGCTACACCTTAAAAAATTCTTTTTAAATAAAATTTATAATTCTATATACAATATTTTTTATAATTTAACTAGGCACTCTTAATTCTACATTGATATAGTTTAGTTTAAGTCACCCCCCCCCTTCCCCCCATATCATATTTTTTAAATCATGTTTATCTAAATTAAATTTACTATTTTATAGAATGTGGTAAAATTTAAATGTGTATAAAGATAAAGTTATATAATACATTTCATTTTTAGGGAAATGAAAAAGAGAATCCATTATTTATCTTTTCTAATAATTTTAAATTTAATAACTTAATATCCATTAAAAACACAAATTTAGGTGATTTTAAGTATTAATTTAAGCATTATAAATTAAGACACGACTTAACAAAAAAATGCAAAATCTAGAGAATTTTTATCAAATTAAAAAATTTTTTATAAGGTCTTGCGAATGGGTTTGAAGAATTAATAGAGGATTGAAAATATTTTATATAGCTCAATAAATATTTTTTAGTAAATAATTTAAATAGTTATTTATATTATATTTAATAATTAAATTCTATTTATAAATCAGGTGTATTACCTTTAAAAACCCGAGTCTATCTAAAAAACGGCAAAATCAAGATTTTAACAAAATAGTTTCTAAACCTCGAGCAAGGCTTAGTTAATATTTGTTGGGCTGAAACATTGATTTCGCCTTTTTTTAGAATTGGCTTAATCGAAGTTTTTAATAACACTTAGTTATATTTTTATGTGCAGTAATAATAGAATGGGAAAAATTTTGAACCGGGTTTCAAACCGAGTTATCATTATTTTTTGTATAAACCGAACCTGAACCTTAATATAATTTTATCTGAACCGAACCGATGATGGTTACAATAGATCCCTGTTTTTAGCTAAGCGTAGAACTGATTTCTAAATAAATCATATTTGATTTTCAGTTTCAACCGGACAAAACTTGAAAAACAAGGTAAAATAGTTTTCTTCCATAGTATATTTTAAAAAAATCGAAATGTAGAAATCATTTTCATAACTAAAAACAACAAATTATTAAAGTTATAATAAAATAACTTTCTGAATTGAATAAAGGGGTTCATCAAAATGGTGCATATTTTATATACATTTCTAAGCATAATAAAGATTATTGTATTTTTTTTTTGGAGTTTTAGAATATTAATAAATTTGGAGGAAGGGTGGAGGATTGAAGTTGAACATATAAAATTCATTTCCAACTGGATCACCCTCCAATTTATAAATAAATTTAACTTAAATTCCACGTAAAATTATTAAGTAAAATCTTATCATTTATATATTAATAACAATATAAAATATAAGATTGTTCAGTTGATTGATCCCTCTTGGATTAGTATGCTTTTGCCAAAATATGGGTTGATTGTTGAATTAGATGGGAAGACTGGCAAAATTATTCGAAGCTTTCACGATCCAAAAGGAAGATACGTGTTTGCCATAAGCGAAGCGCACGAATTCAATAACAAGCTATATTTGGGCTCATATGTAACCCCCTTTTACTCCGTTTTAAATCTTGATAAATTGTGATATTATAAATGATTTTCATAACTTCACAATTCAACAGATATTATAAAGCACTAAAAGCAATATTTCACTATTTAATCGTTTTGAAAATTGTTAATTAATAATTATGCATGATAACTTATAACTATTTACACATTATATAAATATTTTTATATTTTTTATAAAAAAAAAATATTTCCAAATATTATAATAAAACACTTTATATGCATTTTATGATTTGATCCCTGTAAAAAAATTATTTGATTTCATAGTTAATATCCTTCTAGGTCTTCAGCGCGTTAAATTTAAAATATTCGGCAATATTATTTATAACTTCCTTTACATTTAAAGAAATAAATTAATTAACCAATAATTATATTATTAATTAATATCTTCAAGTATGAGTATCATAAATCTACCTTAATAAATTTGAGAATTCACTATTTGTCAATATAATCTCCGTACTCCTTCTATTTCTAACCTTTCTGTATAAATATATGTCTACGATAAATATGAATTTACTTTATGGTTAATTTAATTATTAATATGAAAATTAATTATTATAAATTTGTTAGCAATAATTATTAGTACTCTATAAATTCATAGGGGAAAATTTTAATATTTATGTTTGAATATTTTTATTTTTTAATTTATACCAAAATTTAAAAATAAATTAAAAGGTTCTTTTTATTTGCTATTTTATAATTTGTTTAAAAAAATAGGGTTAATAAGAATCATTGTAATGCGATCTGATTCGAACACAATTAGTCGATTCAAAATTCGAGCGAATACAAGAAATAATCATAAAAATTAGTACCTCATCTTTATTATTCGGACAAATTATTTGTATATTCAAAATTATTGGTAAATATTAAATATACTAAATTATCATTTTTTTAAATATTATAAATCATTCGTAAATAATCATACTTACTCAACATTTTTTAGAGATTTAATTTTTTTAAATGTTAGTCCATAAAAAAAATGTTCATTGGAATAAAGACACTTAAGAACCTGATAAAAAAAACGAATTTATTATTTCAAAGAATATTAATTAATCTCAACACAAGTAACTACTAATAACCTACATATTAATTTTAAATTGCCATTTAAACATTTGAAAGATTTTGTTAGAACGGCTATTGTCCACCTATTCGTATGAAAATTTATGAAAAAACGTCAAATGACCTAAAATGTAGTGTTGTTAAATGGTTGGTTTTTTACTACCCACAACCCGAGCCGAAGTCGTAGAAATCTGCTCAACCCTGAGCCAGGGTTGAAAAATCGACCATGACCCAACCCGACCTAATGGGCCTGTTAAGCCGACCCATTTGGTCGGCTTGCGTTAAAATTTGTCATAATCGTTATTTTTAAGTTTTTTCGAATTTTTTTTTAAGCAAATAGGTAAAAATATATATTGTAAACATGTTTAATTAAATTTTCAGTGAATATGTACCTTAGAAAAGTGACAATTGTCATAATCGTCATCTTTAAATTTTTTCGAATTTTTTTGAAGCAAATAGGTAAATATATATATTGTAAACATTTTAAATTAAATTTTCAGTGTATATGTACCTTAGAAAAGTGACAATTGTCATAATCGTCATTTTTAAGTTTTTCGAATTTTTTTGAGGCAAAAAATATATGTTGTGAACATGTTAAATTAAATTTTCAGTGAATATGTACCTTAGAAATGTGACAATTGTCATAATCGTCATTTTTAAGTTTTTTCGAATTTTTTGAAGCAAATAGGTAAAAATATATATTGTAAACATGTTAAATTAAATTTTCAGTGAATATGTACCTTAGAAAAGTGACAATTGTCATGATCGTCTTTTTAAGTTTTTTCGAATTTTTTGAAGCAAATAGGTAAAAATATATATTGTAAACATGTTAAATTAAATTTTCAGTGAATATGTACCTTAGAAAAGTGACAATTGTCATGATCGTCTTTTTAAGTTTTTTCGAATTTTTTTGAAGCAAATAGGTAAAAATATATATTGTAAACATGTTTAATTAAATTTTCAGTGAATATGTACCTTAGAAAAGTGACAATTGTCATAATCGTCATCTTTAAATTTTTTCGAATTTTTTTGAAGCAAATAGGTAAATATATATATTGTAAACATTTTAAATTAAATTTTCAGTGTATATGTACCTTAGAAAAGTGACAATTGTCATAATCGTCATTTTTAAGTTTTTCGAATTTTTTTGAGGCAAAAAATATATGTTGTGAACATGTTAAATTAAATTTTCAGTGAATATGTACCTTAGAAATGTGACAATTGTCATAATCGTCATTTTTAAGTTTTTTCGAATTTTTTTGAAGCAAATAGGTAAAAATATATATTGTAAACATGTTAAATTAAATTTTCAGTGAATATGTACCTTAGAAAAGTGACAATTGTCATGATCGTCTTTTTTAAGTTTTTTCGAATTTTTTTGAAGCAAATAGGTAAAAATATATATTGTAAACATGTTAAATTAAATTTTCAGTGAATATGTACCTTAGAAAAGTGACAATTGTCATGATCGTCTTTTTTAAGTTTTTTCGAATTTTTTTGAAGCAAATAGGTAAAAATATATGTTGTGAACATGTTAAATTAAATTTTCAGTGAATATGTACCTTAGAAAAGTGACAATTGTCATAATCGTTATTTTTAAGTTTTTTCGAATTTTTTTGAAGCAAATAGGTAAAATATATGTTGTGAACATGTTAAATTAAATTTTCATTGAATATGTATTTTAGAAAAGTGACAATTGTCATAATCGTCATTTTTAAGTTTTTTCGAATTTTTTTAAATTAAATAGATAAAAAAATATATTTGTAAGGATAAAAATTTCAAATAATTTTTTATAGCCGGGCATAGGCAGGCAAGAGAAAACTCGCCCAATGCTGACCTTTAATTTAAACATCTATTACGTGATAAAAATCGAGCCGTTTAACAACACTATCGCTAATATTTTTAGAATCTTAAACTGACGATTACTAGAACAATAGTTATTGCTCTTTAAGTATAAGTAATATGATTTGAATCCCATATTATACCAAATATATCGACGTTCTATATTTGTAGAGCTTCATTTGCGTAAATTCAGAAAATGAGAAAAATATTAAACTTTATATGAAATATAGGAAATATTTATCGATCAATTTAATTTAAAATTTTTAAAAAAATTAACAAAATTTGTTTTTTAAAATCAAAATGCAAGTGAAGCAAATATAACAGTTATAATTTATATATAAAAATTGAATAATTTTGGTTATATTTTGGACATATAAAAATAAGGATCTTAAGGTGATTACGAAGCAAAAAAAAACAAATCTTGATCTTTGGAATCCAATTAAAAGTTCGGATCGTTTTTTACGATATAACCGAAGATATAATTTAGAAAGAATTTGTAAAAATTAATATTACTAAAAAAACGCCGAATATTTTGCGTTTTTAAAAATTAAAAACGAAAAATAACATTAACATAATATATATGGGAAATGTGTCATAAATGGTCATGTTTGAAGACTAGCCACCACCTTTTAACTATTATCTTTTCGACCGATTTCTCTCAAAATTTGTCAAAATGTGTATTTTATGATATGTACTTTACCTATTGAATAGAGCAATCCAATAAAAAAAATTTAAAATAAGCTGTTTTTAGTACTTCTTTCTGGAAAAATCTCGTTACACATTTTTTTGTTTGGTGAAAAAATTACTAATTTAGATTATTGTTATTTATATAAATATTATCCTTAGCCAATCAGCATTATACGCACAAAAAATTATGGTTTCAAGTTTTATTTAATAGGCATATGTATTGACTGGCCAAAATTCTATATTCATATAGAAATGATGAATATTGATAAATTTAGATGTTAATACTAATTGCATTATTAAATTTTTATATGCCTAAAAAATGAAGAAATATATAAGATAGGTTTTTTGCAATCATTTCATATAATTCTTAAATAATTTATTATGGCCAGTAAACAATGTATTGACTGGCTAGAAAAACACTGTCACAAAACTTCATCTTCTACCTCATAAACTATTATAGAGCTTTTATTAAATTTTATTTTAAAGAATCTTATAATACCTTTTTTCAAAAAAGCTTAAATATATATTTAATGATTATTTCAGGGATGTGAACCCGAACCCTAACCCTGAACCCTCGTATTTTGGCTGAATCCGAAATTTTAAAAAGTGAAGGAAGGGTTCAGGGTATTAAAAAAAAATTTTAATTTTAAAAAATAATTTAAAAATATAAATTTTTATAATTTTATTAATTTTTTTCGTAGAATCATTTATTTTATATTCGCGTTTTTCTTTCGTTTTTCTTCCTGGACTTCATTTTATTTTATTTAGAGATTGATATCATAAATTTAAAACTAATTGATAAAGCAAGGGATGTTGTAAAATATTTAAGAACTCCCACAATTGTAAGAATATTAAAATCTATGAAAAGGCAAATGGCAATATTAGATTGCACAACAAGTTGGTCCTCTATTTGTATGATGTTAGAGCGATTAATAAGTTTGAAAGATTTCTGTAATGATTTTATTATAGGAGCATGTGAAGCCATTTTGTCAGAAGATGATTGGAATCAAATAAAAGACCTTTCGGATTTTTATGGCATATGGGTAAGATGTCGATTAGAGTTAGAAAGATTTACAAGTTCTTTTTCTTATGAAATATTAGAAAATATGGAAATTAGAGATCAACAATATTTACAAAATAGTGTTGTATATGCTTCAATATATTTAGACCCTCGATATCAAGTTTTATTAAGTATTGAGCAAAAATAAATTGCTATAGACCATCTTGAGGATTTATGGCATACCCAAAACTTTATTATTTACAATATATTGGAGCTACGACATACTGGTTGTAGCGATAAGAATGATAATGATAGCAATATTGATGATCTGGAAATTTTATTATTAGATAGAGAAAAAAATGAAATTATCATCAGATAGAAAGGAGCAAAAAATATCTATTGTATCTTTATTAGAAAAGTTCTCAGAAGTTAAGAGAAATATTTACAAAATAGTGTTGAATATATCGTTACATAATAAATATATATAAAATAATTATATATATTTAATTTTGATAAATAGGAATATAGAATAATTAAGGCTAGGCTTAGTGTTGTGTAACGTAGTGTTGTTAATTTGCTTGGTCGTAAAATTTACGACCAAATTTTGTGCTAAGGCCGACCCGGGGTTCAGACTCGGGGTT